TCACTCATATTCTTCACGTTTATTCCAACTCGATTCAATTCGAATTGAAGTCTTATTCATTCACTCGTATTGGAACCTCTATATCATTCACTCGTATTGGATTCTTATTCATTGTTTTCATGTATTGATCTTATTCATTGCACAGATCGTATTGAGCTCTTATTCATTCAGCTTCGTATTGAGCTCTTATTCATTTCGTATTGATGCTCTTATTCATTCACTCGTATTGAGTCTTATTCAATTTACTCGTATTGGATCTTATTCTTCAACTCGTTATTGGAACTCTTATTCACTCACTCGTATTGAATCGTATTTTTCACTCGTATTGAACTCGTATTCATCTCACTCGTATTTTGAACTCGTTTCTTTCACTCCCTATTGAACTCGTATTTTTCACTAGTATTGAAACTCGTATTCCATTCAGTTACATTCACTCGTATTCATTCAACTCGTATTCATTCATTGGTCATTCACCGCGGTATTCATTCACGCGGTGCATTCACTCGTTTCATTCATTGATTCAACCGGTATTCATTCAGTTATTTCATCTTGTATTCATTTCCTCGTATTCAAACTCGTAAATTCACTCGCATTCATCATCGTATTTCAATATGTATTCATCACTCGATTTCACTCGCAGTCCATTAGCGCTTTTCTAAATCGAATTCATTTAACGTCGCATTCAATTCGTATTCATATTCGTCTGTTTTTCAATAGATTTTGATTGTTGATGGTTCTGGACGCGTCACGGTAAGATAATTAGTTTACGCAAGTGTAGTGCATTGTTTATTGCGAGAGGTGGCGATGGTGTTCCCCTACTAGATGGCGAAATCCGGGTCAGGATGCTCGATCAGTAGAGTGGAGTAGTAATCCCAGTCGAATGTGCGAGACTAGTAGCGCATGCGTCTATTTGATACGGGCTTTAGATCCGCGAACCGGGGTGGTTTGGTACGCGACAGATATGGTTGGGCACGCCCCAGCTGGGATGTAAATCTCTATGCCTTGACTGGTCTCGTCCGGCATTTGTGGTAGAGGTGTGCATTTAAATATAAGGTGTGTTAAGTAAGGGAGTAAGCTTTATAGGTCAAAGAAGAGGAAGGGAAGATCGCGCGCGGTTCCATGGCCCGTTTGGTGCTTCAGCATTCGTCTGGCTAGATCGAGAAACGCGGAAACCTACGGTCAGAAAACAGCAGTGGTGCTAGAATGTATCTTGATCAGAAGGGTTGAGAAAATGGGGTCGGAACCTGGCCACACACCGAGGCTCGCCTAAAGGACTCGATCAGAGGCGGAGCCTTGCATTAGTAGATGCTCTGAGCACTTAAGTCGGGTTGCATAATATTGTTACGTGGACTATGTTACGTATATGTGAATACTTTTTTCTTCAAATCTAATGTTTACTTTTCCTCTCAATAATTAAATACTTAGTAATTTAACCGCTTTTTATAATGTCACATTAGAACAACTAAACATTATAAAACATAATTGAAAGCATTCTTCTTCAAGTATGCAACTCTTAATATTTTTTACTCAATAAATCCTGGCATAAATCCAGCTTAATCTGCCATTAGTTAGCGGCTAAAGAAACAAAACAAAGATTTTCAATTGACAAAAATTCAACATCGGTATTGATGTGAATCCACACTTTCTCTCTGTAGTCAGCATATTGAAGAAAAATAAAATTTTTGATAGTCAAAACATGGTGCTAATGAAAGAAATGTCTGGGCTATTCAACCTCTGTTTAATGTACTGGAATGACAAATTATCCATGTTATAGTTATCTATTAAATTTTTTTTTCAATGAAATTATGTGCATTTGGGTATAAGTCTGAAGCGCTTCATTGTTATTGAATAACAACTCCATCTATTCACAATATTGCAATTTGTTGATTGATGTTTTATTACAGCGTAATAAAACCATTATTTTGGGCTTTAAATCTTTTTCTACTTTTTCTTTCATGTTTTTTCGGATACATGACGTGTGCGTTAAAGCTTTTCAAAAAATGTATTACTCTCACAGAGATTGTGAGCGTATTTTTTGTTATTTTTTAGAGTTTTACTGAAGGCGCGTTATTCTGTACGTAATAGAGTTGTCATTGATACATAGAATTATCTCCGTATGAATGCCAATATTTCATGTATCAGCCCTTTAGTAGCATCATCGACTTCTTCTACCCACGCAACACGCACTAACATTTTAATACAAAATATATAGTTGTTGTTATTAACATGTAATTACTATAGATGATAACAAAGGGATCATTTTTCTCTTCATCAAAGTTGAATGACAGTGTCATCTTGAACGAATTTTAAAATGTCAGTAGCTCAGTAGTGGTTTCAATCCGACGGCTGCTGGGGAGAGAGGCAAATATATTGTAACGACTAATATTTATATTTTAAAACACAACTAGTTTTGATGGAAAGAAATTTGAACGTTCTACTGAACCAAATTTTAGTGTTTTTTCGCTTTCAAATGAAAAGTAAATGACTCCAGGTAGTAAACACATATTATTACAAGCAGGTTTTATAGCATTACGTTATTAAAGTATTAAAGTAATAGAGTAACATTATCTGCCTCATTTGTTCTTGTATTGTTAGTTATCCGCGGAAGTCAAGAAGCATACAGAGTTTCAAACAACCAAATTTGGCAGTGTCCTCAACGGTTACTTAATATTCATCTGTTTTATGGGATTTACAATATCGATGATGGCTCTATCCTGCATTTCTAAATTTTTGCAGAAAATGGGAAAAATGCGAACAGTATGATTACAGGGTTTAAAATAACGCATACAATTATGTGTTGTAAACATTACGTTTTAAGTTTCACGGATGCGGAGTTTAACTGCAATAGTGCTCACATTCCATGTTCAGATTTTTGGTAAATATAAAAACGGCATCATTTCTCCAGAAACAACTGAACAACTGATTACATTGTTCTGAACTTTTTACTTTCTCTTTCATTTATCTATGCAAGTTTTTCTGAACAAAATAAAGCAATATTATGGGTTTGAGAGTGAGAGTCAGGATTTATAGATTTATTAATAATTTTGCAATTACGGGCTGAGAAGTGCAATTGAATTGCTGCAATTAAGAGTGGCAGAATACACTAAGCTTAACATTACAGAATTAACACTAAAAAAATCTACGGAACTTTTACAAAATCACGTGTATTTCAACGCGTGCAATTTTTCCATAGAATTACTTCACTCTTCCTTCACCACACTTCGCTTCAACAGCATTGGCGATACAGGAGCTCTAATGTTTTCTTACTCACCTCGTTTTCTCTATTTCACAACGTAACTGGACTTCAGCCACTTACACTGCAAATAATAATAATAATATAATAATATATATTAATTAATAATAATAACATATATAATTACAAAGAGACATATGTAATTACACTGACTTTTATTAAATATATTTATAAATATCTACATTCAAGAAATTTTTATTTTTAAATTTGCTCAGGCTTTGAGGGAAAGGAATCCGAAGTTGTCAAGGGCAAGTGTTCCAAGTCTACTGTCGTGATGAATATTCCCCAAGTCGTTTTCTGAATTCTTGTGTGAATTCGCACCTATTTGGCCTCCTTTGTTTTATATTACTATCCCTTGTCAACGGGCATTCAGGGTTTCTCTGCTAACGGGTTGGTGGCGAAAGGTAGATTATCGATTTACTAGTGATTCATGGGGCGTCAACGGCTAGGTTCGTTAGTCCGTCATGTAGGGTATTATTTTCTTTTTTTTTTTTCGGGAGATGGTGGCGATCTTGGCCCCGTGGATGGCAGATACGGCGCCGACTACGTCGCTAGAGAAGGTTTTCATCAAACTGTGGGTGCACATTAACTGGATCTCCAGTCCCCAGTTTCTGGTCAGCAGGGTACGGTAGAAAATCCTTCTACAATCGAAAGGTCACGGTCAGTTTGCAAGTATGTCCCTTCGTCTTCGGCTTCACAGTTTCTTCTCTCTCTCTCTCTCTTCTGTCTCTCTCTTCTCGTCTCTCTCTCTCGCTCGCTCGGCTCTCTCGCTTTCTCGCTCTCTCTCGCTCTTCTCTCGCTTCTCTCGCTCTCTCTCTCTCTTTTAACTACCTCTGCGTACCGTGTTTCTTCTGGTTACTCATACTTCTCAGTTAATGAAATAATTTCTCAGACATTTAAAACAAAAACGCGTTGCTTCTCGATTGTTATCTAGAGACGCGTTTTTACGTGAGTTTTTGGTTTCTGATGTTGATCACTGCTCTGGTGGACGTAGCAGAACGCCTATTTCGCCACCATCGGCGTCTTTACTATCTTCGCCACCAGCGGGTCTTCCCCGCGGGGGGGCAAAATTCAGTCCCCCGACCGGTCTCCCGGCGTGTGCGGTTGTGTAGTGCATGTTGGGGCTAGGATAGAAACGAATAGGAAGGAAAGATCGCGAGCGGTCCGTGGGGGCCGTTTATTAAGGGTACTGCTCCGGTATTCGCCTGGAATTGATCGGAGAAAACTACCGGTAACTCCTTTCAGAGGCAGCAGGCGCTAGAATTCTCCTCCAGACAGCGATCCGATTCGACTGGAGTTATGTAGTAACGTCGACAATCCTGCTACATCAGGCCTCCAACTCAGGACGTCCGATCAAAAACTGCAGTGACATATAGTAATTCCTGAGCACTCTCCTGGTTGGTGCGGTAGATTACTGCCTGGAGCTCTGGTCTTCATCCTGGTGTACGGAATAGTGTAACGGACTGTTGTACTCAATTGGCGCGGTTAAACCCGATCGAAGCCGTGACTTTTTTAAAAAGGGCGAAAAAATCCTTCGTACGCCTTCTTCGGAGTGAAGTAAGCCGGCTGTCCCTGTTAGTAGATTTACTTGCCAACTGAACAAGATCTCAAGCTAAATGACGCATATAAACGTGAGAGAATACGAGTGATTGAATACGCGCGTTGCTGTGGCGTGTTTCAGCTCCGCACGCCCATGAACATGGTGCTGCTGAACCTGGCGGTGAGTGACCTGTGCGTGGCGACCGTCGGCAACCCTTTGACGATGACCGCTGCCGTGGTGCGACGGTGGCCCTTCGGGCCCAAGCTCTGCGTCGCCTATGCCTTCTTCATGTCCTTCTTCGGTGAGTTCGCAACACATGGCACGTGCGGTAATATCAATTAGCACGTCATGAGCATTACATATACATTCACGAACACCCCTAGCGCATCTGAAGTGTTCAAATTTTTAAAATTGCTGCTCTTGTTTACTTACTTGCTACCGCTTATGCAGTAATGAGAAAGTTATGTAATGCTGATATATAAACGGGGAATTTGCGGCAGAACGTGGTACAGGGTAACGAAAAGTGGATAAATCCAGTTGATAAATGTAGAAAAAACAATATTTATCACGTTGTTTAGACAGAATCCATGTTTTGCGGGTACTTGATAGTAAAAAATCGAATGATGGCAAATTGTCTGTCTGTCTGTTTGTCTGACTGTCCGTCTTTGAACAATGTTGAGACTAAAATGTTCAGCAGTTTTTCTCCAAAATTAATATCCTTCAACCGACCTAGGTGACTTCGCGGCCCCTAAGATTGGAAACCGATATTTTAATTTTGGGGACTCCTTTACATGGAGCGCTTGGGACATTTTCCAAATTTTAAGAAAAGTCTCCATTTTTTGGTTAAATTTTTGTGTTCGCTTCTTTCTATTTCCATTGTAGCTATTATTTGAATTGAGTGATTTACATTGGGCATCACTACGCGCAGAGCAGAAGAGCAAGTAGTTTTTGTATTATATTCTAATATGAAAAACGCTAATAAAGAGAATTTCGTGAGAAGTTGTTTATTTTTTACTAATTAATTTAGACAATTTTTAAATATTCGAGAAAGTTATGAAATTGATACTAAAATATTATTGAAGATTTTCTCACAGTTACTATTTTTTAAGGATCCGGAGCTAGATAATTTTGAGTGTTACAGGCAGTAAACAATTGATGATGGAATACAATAGGAGAAAGAAGACTTACTTAGCCTTTTTGTATATAGAGCAGGAAACATTACACCGCTTAAAAATAATTGATTAGTCAAGAAATAGAGGTGAACCAAATTCATATAAACTATTATTTTTAATTTATTCTTTATTAATAAGTTTATTAGAGTTTGTTTTCAATTTTGATTTCTGTCTTGACATTGATGACCTCAAAATGTTTACTGTTCGGAGCCTCCTATTCACGTAAGCCGCTATGGATTTACCAAACAATGGTGTATCCAAAAATCGGAGTTTGCTCAGTGTGTGTACGTAAAATACCCCCCCCCCCTGACAGGGAGATATGTGCTCAACCCTAGAAAGACACCGTGCCTCTTGAAAGGTTTCTTTTGTATTCTATTTAAGCATATCAAAATAGGTTTAAAACATATTTAACTTTTGCTTAACTACTTAATGGTGTCGCTTGAAAAGTTTCTTTTATATTTTTTGAGCACGTCAAAGTATGTTTAAATCAGATTTAACTTTTATAACTCTGTTTACTTCCCTAAGTATTTATAAATGTTTATTAGTATCTTAAATTATAATACTGATGTATCGTTTTTTTAATTTGTAATTTCATACACATGTTTTAACTGAACTAATGTTTCTGTATACCTCATTCCGGGTTAAGGTGATTATTACACTTATGAAATTATCACCTGAACACTATTAAACGACTGAATCAATCTTATATGCACCTATTCACACGGAGTATCTCAAAAACGTTATCGCTTTTTTTATCCTAGAGGTTCCATTTCCCTCAACAGGCCAGTCATGATCTGCTGTTTATCAAACATACAATGCGCCGTACACTTTAACGAGAGTTTTATGAATAAAGTTAACATTTAGCGTGTTAAAAAACTATTTGGAGGTATTTTCATCTGTGTAATTGTACTAAATAGCACTAGACCAACGGAAATATCTAGATAAATTCCATCGTCGCTAAGTAACTAGGTATTTATCTGAAATTTCCAAAGTAGTGGTGATATTAACTATGAATACCATGGAAAAGAGACGTACGTCACAACATATAGCAATATTTGGGTGCAACATTAGGGTGATTATTTTGGTACAGATAGATTTTTTTTAGTTTTCTGAAATCAGAAAGGATAATTTGACATGACAGTACTTGCGTCATATTTAGATTTTAGAAACATGAATATTAGCCTCGGACTAATCATGTGATTAAAAATTGAAAACGATTTAGTAGATTAGGCAAATAAATCCAAGTATAAAAAGAACATACTTAGAATAAGGTAGGAAACATTAAAAATATTTTAATAAAAAGTTGTTATGGTCAATCTTATAACTTAGTACATGAATGTAGTTTTCGAACAAAATGCATGAACTGCTGAAAACAAACATTCTAGCAGATTAAACACGATTAAAAAAAATTACAAAAACGTATACAGCCAATTTCAAACTTCACACATTTCATTCACTTCAATGGTATAACTTTTATTTTTCTTTTCTAAACATTGAGGAAAAGATGTAACGTCAGCAGCCTCAACGTACTAAAAGTCCGCAAACTGCTGGTTACTCCGAACCCAAAGTACTAATCAAACCAAAAGGAAAAAGTGCTTTAAAACAACCGTAAAAAAAGTTCTGAATTCAGGCGATTTCTAAGGCCAAAAACACTCAAAGGAAACAAAAAACAAGCCTAGCCTTCTGGGAATCCCAACTCGACTACTGCAGAGTTAAAAGCACGCGGTAAATGTCTCTCCTGGGCCATGTGACCTCGCTGACCACGGAGTGAATTGCGTTTTTTGTCAGCTAAAGCAAATGGATAAATGTAATGAGCGTATGACGACTGTATCCCGCGGTTAACTTTTCCTAAGCCGTTTACCTACCTCCCAAAAAGGCATATCCTGACTTCATCCCATCCTGTTTTTGTTCTACGTATGAGGATTGAATTATACGTTTCACGTGGTCTGCTTAGAACCACATTGATCGATTATATTTGATCCATTTCTGTATGTTTTATGAGAATCATATACATGTTCGTTTAGAACACTGTGAACGTTGAAAACCTCCGCTTAAAAGTTTGTGAAAAAAAACATTTAATGACCCATCACAAACGTCTTCTAACCACGCTGACTTAACATACACAATTCAGATGATTCTGCCATATGTAGCCGTGTTTGAGGATTTCTCTGGAGTTTTGCGAGAACATCAAAGTGTCTACTTAAAAATGCAGACTTAACTAAAATATTTAGCACTCCTTCCGAGACACCGGATGAACAGAACAGGATGGAGTCAGACTCGTATGCCTTGTCATCTAACGAAAAAGTGAAAGGGGAATAACTTGAAAACGAGGGAGAGGGAAAGGTTACGGGATGCAGTCGGGTGATTCCCAATATAACACGTGTGGAATGCGATGTATAATGAGCTGTGATTCAAAAACCATTACATGTTAGCGTGTTAAGGTAGTTTTGTGGAGTTGGCTCAGGTAAAAAACGCCAATTTGTTACAGCCAATTTGACTAGTTATTCCGATTTGTTTTCTCTCCGATCAGTTGATTCTTTTTTGTATTTCCCACAAGCTTTTTTTTTTCATTTACATACTGTAGATTTTTTCTCCCATTTTATATCATTAATCCTCCAGATCACATTTGATGTGCTTCAAGCTTTCTTTATTATCTTTTTTTAAATTTTTCAGGGTTTCTTCTTTAAGCAGGAAAACACACCAATCAAATAAATGGATTAACCGTTTTCAAATGCATATCCATCTTTCAGATAATAACTCCCTCTACTTCATGAAAGCCTCTTTCTTTAATTTTTGCCCCTTCAATTCTTCTTTTTATTTTCTTCTAACATTTCTACTTCTTTTAAAAGCTCTTTAGATATCTGAATTACATTATCTTGGTTAGATTAGAAATAGATAATATAAATATCAAATACATTGATGCATTGAGACATTAATGCGAGTCGTTGTCCATCTCGGTTCACGGCCAAAATTAATTTCCAAGTTCCACACATAGCATATTTAAATACTTTTTCATGTATATAACATCAGCACCCCGCCAAGTCCAAATTGTTCGTTTGCCTTTTTTTGAAATCTTTTTGTGTGTTGCTCGCAGGTACCATTAGGACAGCAACAGACTTGTCACTCTCCTTGATTGATTTCGCATGAAATGATTGGAGGCCTTCCGGGAAAAAAATAATATAGATGCTGTGTTGGCTTAAAAACACCATTTTCCTTTGTAATTATTTTTTATTCAAATACATCAGGAATAATAATGTTAAGAATAATGACAATAATAATAACAACGATAAAACTTTTTTTGTATTCTAGCATTATAAACGAACTTTTTCGTTACAGGAAATCGTTGATAAAAGGATATCTTATGGCACAAATGATGACGTATTTGCCGATTACGGTACAAATAATTGCGCAATCATACATTTCAGCCAATCGCAGTAAGGGAATCATGGGGAGGTAGTGGTAAACGGAACAGTCGAACACCAGTTTTTCGCACAAATCTCAAATACCTCAATACTTTTCCAAACTTTACGTTGATACTCTTATAAATTATAATTCCTTTATACAAAAAATTGCATACACTAGTTTATAATGTTGCATTATTGTATTCGTTCAAATTTAAAAACTCGCTTCCAACGTCGCTAGTTTTTAAACATCTAGTCATGTAATAAAGCTAAGCATTATTAACTAATTGCATAAACTACTATTATTCTCTGGCATACTAAGTGAAAGTATTGTAATGTTACAGAAATAACATGAAATTTTTTGTCATAAATATCGCATTATTAAAGTATTTTGTTGAGATAATACGTAATTACTAAAAATTAATGAATTCAGATATACACGAAATAGTTCTAATGAAAGAAACAATGATGCCTTACATTCTTTTCCAGTCCCCCCTCATTTATTTGTGTTAATACCAAACAAATACAAAACAACAAAAAACATTGTTTCAAATATGTCATTGGTCGAGACTTATTGTAATGGCAACTTTTCGTTTTAATTGTTGCATTTTTCCATTTTGTGCGTATCCTCGAATTTTTTGACGGTAGTTAATTTTGTTTCGTTTTATGCAAACTTCGCTTTGTTTTTTACAACGTTCTCAATGTATGGGACGTGTGCACATACAAACTGTACCGTGAGCTTGCAAACGCTTGCACAAACAACCCAACCCTTTAATACAGAGCGCGCCAAAAGAGTGAGGAGGAGCCAGAGTAACTTCGAGTTCTATTCGCGGCAGGTGAAGTTGGCGTCACTGTTAACCCTAGTCCTAGCTCAGAGAAATTCCTCTCCTCTGCCTTTTGTTTTGAGACCTCCATCTGGTGTAGACGCCCGACCCGATTTTCTATTGATCGTCCGTGCCTTTTACTCTGCTCGTAATTTTTCGTGCGTCGTATAAAATACTACTGGGGATGCTAATGAACAAACCAGAAATGGGTTTTCCAAAAATCGGCAATCACACTGCTCAAGAATAACAAATAAAATACAACAATAAACGTAATTACAATAATAGATTTAATATTTTAAATAAAACAGCCTTCACGAATTTAGCAATTACATAGTACAATATGTACTTTGAATTCGGAAAAGTTTGTTCAATGGGATAAGAAGATTGATAAGATTTCCTTGCCAAATATTTTTGCTGGTTGAAAACTTTTGCGAGTTTAACTAGTATTATTATATTAAGTATCAGTTACAAATAATTCGAGAAAGTATATACTGTTGTAGCACCACTACTTTATATTATAAATATCCAACGACCCTACATGTCCCTGACTTTCCTCTTCCTTGCCCTAGCCTCTCCTCTTTCACACCCATTTACTACATTTCGATACACAACACTACCACACAGTCGGGAGACCAGAACGAGTCCCGGCTAGGATAGTGGTCCGTTGGGAGGAGATAACCGGGAGAGAAGTACCCACGACTAGCCGAAGAATAGGTCCGCGATGGATCTCAACCGGCAGTGGGAAGGAACACCACTACTATACGCCACAAAACATACAATACACTATAAGCACTAATGGCAGTAGCTATGGTCGCGCCCGGAAACATTAACCATTCATTTACACATTCACGAATTTATTCATTACTGCATTTACGTATTCATGCAATTATTCATTTATGTATGTACGCATTCAGGCATATATTCATTTATGTATTTTTGATTTCATTTATTAATTGATTGACTCGTTTTTCATTCATGATATTGTGCCTACATGCATTTATTCATTTATGCTTTTATTAATTTATACAAGAACATTCATACTTTTATTAATTTATCCATTGATGCTTTAAACACTTATTGATTTACGTATTTATTCATTCGTTCTTTTATTCATTTAATCGTTTATTAATTTATACATTTATTCAATTACGTATTTTCAGTCATGCATTCATACATTTATTCAATTATGAATTTTGCATTTATACATTTATTCATTTGTTAACTTGTGCGTTCTAGTATTGGTTCCTTTTTTTGCATTCATTTATGTATTTATACAGTTATCCATTTTTTCACTTATCCATGTAATTCATCTGGTCCTGACTTCACAGTCCCATCCGCCTATTTGTCTGAGGAGAGAGAGCGAGAGAGAGTGAGAGCAAGAGAGGGCGAGAGAGAGCGTGAGAGAGCGCGAGAGACAGAGAGCGAGAGACAGAGGGTGAGAGAGAGCGAAAGAGAGAGCGAGAGTGAGAGCGAGAGAGAGCGAGAGAGAGTGAGAGCAAGAGAGAGTGAGAGAGAGCGTGAGAGAGCGCGAGAAACAGAGCGAGAGAGCGAGAGACAGAGGGCGAGAGAGAGCGAAAGAGAGAGCGAAAGAGAGAGCGAGAGACAGAGAGCGAGAGAGAGCGAGAGAGAGAGTGAGAGCGAACGAGAGCGCGAGAGACAGAGACGAGAGAGAGCGCGAGAGACAGAGACGAGAGAGAGAGCGAGAGACAGAGACGAGAGAGAGCGCGAGAGACAGAGAGCGAGAGAGAGCGAGAGTGATAGCGAGAGAGAGCGAGAGAGAGCGAGAGAGAGCGAGAGTGAGAGCGAGAGTGAGAGCGAGAGTGAGTGCGAGAGAGAGCGAGAGAGAGTGAGAGCAAGAGAGAGCGAGAGAGAGCGTGAGAGAGCGCGAGAGACAGAGAGCAAGAGCGAAAGACAGAGAGCGAGAGAGAGCGAGAGAGTGAGAGCGAAAGAGAGAGCGAGAGACAGAGAGCGTGTGAGAGCGAGAGAGTGAGAGCGAACGAGAGAGCGAGAGAGAGCGAGAGAGAGTGAGAGCGAACGAGAGCGAGCGAGAGCGAGAGTAGTAAGCGCGCGGGGCGTGTGTGTGCGGTAGGAATGGCGTCGATCGGCGCGCTGGCGCTGCTTGCGCTGGAGCGCTTCCTGCTGGTGGCGCACTCGCTGCGCCGCGCCGCGCCCTCGCTGCGCCACGCGCTGTGCGCCGTGGGCGGCGTGTGGGTGTACGCGCTGGCGCTCTCCGCGCCGCCGCTCGCCGGCTGGGGCGCCTTCGGGCCAGAGGCCGCCAACATAAGGTACGTGGGCCGCAGCTCATAATAATATACAATGCCGCCGGATCGCAATAAAATATATAATACCGATCCGGTGGCCGAGATCGCTAAGGCAGTAGTGCCGTAGCGATCTCGGACCGAAGGATCGCGGGTTCGAGTCCCGCCTCGGGCATGGTTGTGTTGTGTGTATCCATTTCATCCCATCCCCCAGTGCTAACGACCCTGGGGTGTAAAAATGGAATCAGCGTACAAATGCTTATTCCCCCAATAGAAAGTAACGTGCACCTACCCCGATATTCAGAGCTGAGACCCGGTGGGATACACTTATCGCGTGGCCCCATGATGGCCGATTTCGCGTCAAAAAAAATATTAATATAATAAAAATATATAAATATTAGTATTACTCGCGCAACTTATCTCGAGCGATGGATTCAAGAAATGGAGGGGTTAGTTACAAAATCAGCCACTAGATTTTATGAAGCAATGCCAATCTCTGGAGAATCAATCATGCCTTCTCAATAATTTGCGTTCCGATTTTCTCAGGAGTTCGAGATACCTCCTGTGATGGTTTTTCACTTCCTTCCGTCATTTCTTTGGATTTTTTGGAGAATATCACGGACAGAAGTTCTCGTCTTCAACAGAAAATAGTTTCTATTTCGCGCCAGTGAAGAAAGAATCAATCATACCTTCGCAACTTTCTCAATAATTTGCGTTCCAACTTTCTCAGGCGTCCTAGGTATCTCCTGTGATAGATCTTTACCTGCTTCGATCATTTCTTTAGATTTTCTGGGGAAAATAACGGATAGACGTTATCGCCAACAAAAGAAAATTGTATTTCATTATTTCTATTTGTCGCCAATGAAGATGTGTTTGGAATGTTGTCATCAGTGCTCACTGCGAGCTTTTGCCTTCAACTATTGGGGGAGGGGGAAGCAAGATCATCGTTGAAGAGAAGTTGCGCGAGTAAATATCACTTCATAGAACGTGGAAATGACGAATCTTCTCTCTGCAAGCTTTTTAGCTTCTTACGAGAGTCTGACATTTACAGCATTAACTGAGAGAAGAGGATTATGACAATTATTCGGCTTATAATTGGAGTTTTTAAAGTTATTTTCTGCCAATTTTTAAATTACTGAACACGTTTATTTTCAGTTTTACTTCCATTTTATCTTGCAATAAAAGTTTTAGTACGGCACTGCTACAGTGCGTATAGCTCATAAAAAAATTGACACGGGCGCCAATGACCTTAGCTGCTGATACGCCCTTAAACCTTAATTATCATCATGATCTCTACATAGTAGTGATGGGCGATTATTAAATAATAATCGATTAATATCTAATCGACGGTTGTTATTGGGTTAGGGAAATGCACTTGGAAGGTAAAAGCACTATCGATCTTCTGCGCAGGCGCAGTTCAAGTTTCTCATCACTTTAGTGCATCTGCGCATGCGCAGAAGAGCGATAGTGCTGGCGCTATGCCGGGCATAAATTCTCTATTAATATGCATCGATTAATCGTTCCGTGTTAATCGTTTTATTTTGTATAACTGATTGATTTTTCACATATTTCAAATAATCCGTAATTTTGAATTGATAAATGTATTAATGGTTTAGTAGCTTTTTAAGCGTTTTGATTAAGCGTTTAAAGGTAGTTTTTTTAGAAGCACGGCACGATTTAATTTCTCCTCGTACTTACTCTTCTCGACTCAATTTGACTGATTTTTATTTCCCTTGTATTGAATGTCCTGTTTCGGTTGTACCCAAATTGTGTGTGAGTCTTAATTCCAATGATCCAAAGATTAATCTCCGTTGGAGGTCCAAGAGGTCTATTTATTCTCGTGTTGTGTTGCAACACCACTCCGTCAACTTGGAGAATCCTGACTTTAGGGCCAACTCTTGTCCCATCAATTTGGCGTCGCTGGTGGGAGATACCTGTATGGGGAAAACCCCGTAAGCCGACTTGTAGGTCGGCGGGTAATCTCACCACTCAACAAAGCAAGAATACCGCTATCTCCCGTCATAAAACATGCACTACACTTTCGGGACCAATGACCTTGTGAGGCGACTCACCCGGAAAAACGAAATAATGAATCAATAAATCAATTTTTCTCCTGGTTTTACCCCTTACTTCTCTTCTCGACTGAATTTGATTATATTTTTCTGTGATTTTGAATGTATTGTATCTGTTTTGCCCAAATTGCTTGTGTGTCTTAATTCGAATGTATTCGATCTCCCTTGGAGGTTCTAGAAACCTATTTATTCTCATGCTGTGTGCAACAGCTGCTCCGTGAACTGGGAGACGCCTGACATTAGGACCAACTCTTCACCCATCATTTTTGCTTCTCATGTGAGAGATACCTGTATGGGGAAAACCCGCAAGCCGACTTGTAGGTCGGCTGGTAATCTCACCACTCAACAAAGCAAGAATACCGCCACCTCCCGTCATAAAACATGCACTACACTTTCGGAACTAATGACCATGTGAGTCGACTCACCCGGAAACACGAAATAGTTAATCAATAAATCATTTTTTTTGTCCTGGTTCTCCCCGTCCATGCTCTTCTCGACTCAATTTGACTGTTTTTTCTCTGATTTTTAACGTGTTGTATCTGTTGTATGATTTTTTTTCTCACGAACATACTGAATGTCCTAAATCTGTTGTACCCAAATTTCTTGTGCGTCTTATGTCGAATGAGCTCGGTCTCCGTTTGAGGTCTATTTATTCCCGTGTTGTGTGCAACAGCTGCTCCGTGAACTGGGAGAAGCCCGACCTCAACTCCACCACGTACATCGCCTTCCTGTTCGCGCTGGGGCTGGCGCTGCCCGTGGGCATCATCTGCGGCTGCTACGTGGGCATCGTGCGCATCATGCGCAAGGTGAGTGCCCTCTGGGCGCATCTGCGGTGATAAGACGGGCACGTACCCAAAAGGAAACGTCATACCCAATTTTATTTACTTGTTGTTTAGTCCCTTATTTTAAGTTATGGACAACCACAATGAAAACTGCCAAAAATGTGTACATAATAATTTTATTCACAAGAGTTACGACGTCACACATTTTATTTAATTGTTGTTTGGACCTTTATTTTAAATCATTGACAACCACAATGAAAACTGCCAAAAATGTTTATATACTAATTTTATTCACGAGTATTACGACGTCACACATTTTATTTAATTGTTGTTTGGCCCTTTATTTTAAATCATTGACAACTACAATGAAAACTGCGAAAAACGTTTACATAATAATTTTATTCACTTGTGTTATGACGTTTCGGAGACTGTTCTGTTCCCCCCCTCCAGTACAACTGAAAATTATAAAACTTTTATAATAATTATAAAAATATTTGACGTCACACGTTATGACGTCACACATTTTATTTAATTGTTGTTTTCCCCTTTATTTTAAATCATGGTCAACCACAATGAAAACTGTCAAAAACTTTTACGTAGTAATTTTATTCACTTGTGTTACGACGTCACACATTTTATTTAATTGTTGGTTGGCACTTTACTTTAATCATGGACAACCACAATGAAAACTGCCAAAAAATTTTACATAATAATTTCATTCTCTTGAGTTACGACGTCACACGCAACAATTTAACTGTTGTTTAGCCGTTTATTTTAAATTATGGTCAACCACAATGAAAACTGCCAAAAACGTTTACATAATAATTTATTCACGAGTGGTACGACGTCACACATTTTATTTAATTTTTGTTTGGCCCCTTATTTTAAATTAGGGACAACCATAATAAAAACTGCCACTCACTTTTACATAGTAATTTTATTCACTTGTGCATTATTCTTTCGACGTTTCGGAGAATGTTGTGTCTCCCTCATCAGGTAATCTGAAAATTTAATTATAAATATATTTCAGGAAGCCAAACTGATTTTCGCAAAATTATAAAAATAACAAATAAATGTATACTGTACCCAATTCAATGAAAGCTCACCTGTTGCAACTAGAAATGAACAAGTAATATATACAAAAATTGATACAATATCTACAAATTATACACAAAGATTTCTGAATTTTAAAATTAGTGGTGGAGTGCATTCCAGCCATATTACAGTTGAATGTCTAAATTAAGTCGAAAGGTTTCTAATTTATTGTGTCTATAAATTGTAACATCAAGGAAATTAATCCGATTAAGTCCTTCCTCTATTGACATATTTTACTCTATGTATGTCGACGCGCTAAATTCGAAACTGAAGCCAGAATTGCGTCATCATCCTCCATATTTTTTTATTCGCAAAAAATTGAAATGGACAATCTACAATTGGGGTTTGTCAGCATCCTCCGAAAGTAAAAAGTACAATATCACGATGGTTTCATACGATATTAAAAAATTGGAGGGTGATGGCGCAATTCTGGCTTTAGATTCGGATTCAGCGAGGCAATGTACACAGATCGAGATAAAATCTCCCGCACCCCAGCCTTCGGAGAGAAAGTAAAACCAGGTGACCCCTGTTGTAAACTGAATGTAAAAGATCTGCAAGTCTAAAATCTGAGCTAAATTCTAATTCCTTATTTGATCGCTCGAGATATATTATCTTTCGCCGCTTGATGGTGAAAGAATCATATCAAAATTTACGCTTTAAGGCGGAAAAGCAGGCAGGCCTGATGGTCAAGGCATTACTGAATTGTGTTTCGTCAAGTCATTCACCATTTTCATTTATCTTTGTTTTTGTATAAATTTGAATTGCTTCTAACTTAAGCTCTGGCGGAACTTTACCTGAAAGCAAATATATAAATTTTCTAGGAAAAAGAACAGATTAGAAAACTTCGATTGTTATTTGTTAAATATTCAAATAGATACACAAGTTTAATTACCTAGTAAAATGTTTTCTTCAATTTGACTTTTTCTGTTCAATTAGAGACTTCGTTGAGAATCAAAACAAAGATTATTTTAACATTACGTTAATACATTGGTTACGAATTGTATTTTATAGTTCTAAAATATTGAAGTGCCTGTAACAAATATTTTAGTACTTCACCTACTTTTCGGCGTCATTTCGATCAGTTTTTTCATGCAGTTTGCCTTCATCCATTGAGAAAATGATGGCCTCTTACTTCTGAACATCGATGTAGCTTCACAACTGCGCACGTTTTCTAACACCATCTAACATCATGTGACACTAACACCACGTGAGGTATGAGTGGACAATAGGTTTATATCGGGAACAGGACCATCAAATAATACTCCGCTATATACTGGCAGTAGTGAGTCTATTTTTATACGAATTAGCGAAATTCGTAGCTCGCTTGCCGATGCAGATACGTGCTTTATTTTGCACGGAAGCAAATATTTATCATATTTTGACACGACGATGCTACCTTTATTCATAATTCAAGATGAAATGATGTCCCAGCAATAACGTTCAAGTTTTCTAGAGCGTTTAGAGGTTCGAAGATGCTCACTTTTTGCCAATTAACCCGTGGTAGTAAATCTCACAGAGCGAAGTTAATCACGCGCTATTTCTGTGGTAGCCCCCCCCCCATTGTAGGCACGTGATTCTGGTTTGGTGTACCCTAACGTACACTACCTCAGAGGTGGTACCTGAGAGGTGGTACACTACCTCACTAGTGTACTAACCAAGTACACTAATTCAGAGGCAAGGTTCAGTAACAGGGAACCGCATGCACACTGGCGATGATAGTTTTGAATATTATTCATATTTTACTGCAAAAAAATTGATTTGACTCTCGTGATGTTTTGCTGCATTCGATGATCAAGGCAATACACATTGACACGCACTGATTGCTGAAATATTAAGACAAAATTGTCGATTTTGTCATTGTCAGAGAGCGAGTCGTTCCCTGAAAGATTAAATGACAGCCAAACACCTCTTCATGTGAGACACGGGGCCAAATGTGGATCCTGTGTAACTTTGCTAATTGAGATTTCACACTGTACATTAATTAAGAAAATTTAATTTTATTCTACCTCCGTACATATCCTATAAGATTGAAAGATTTATTCTGAGTCATCCTGAGGTGAAGGAGGGAGGATAGGTTTTTTAGTTAAAAAATACGTAGAGATTAAGCGTAGTACTTCTCTCCCACGCCAGATACAGTTTTCTCCCTTTTTTGCATTTAATATTTATTTGCGAGTTACTTATTAATGAAAATATTAATTTAGGGAAATATTTTATTACAGTGAAATAAATGAATATATAAATAACAGTCTTGTGAAAAATTAAATGGTACATCGGTGTGAATTAGGGTGGAAAAATGATGTGAATAAAGACTTAATGTTTTTCTGTTACGTGTTCGCTTGTTATTGTTTTCAATATGGAGCTCTATTTATGCTTCATAACGTACCTTGATAGATAGGATCGTGATTACGAGAGAAATATGAAAGCAGTTGAAGCACATATTCCCTTATGGAAGAAAATATAAAAAAGTAGATGTAAAACAAGACAATACCAAGCTAGTAGACAACCAACTCAACATCAATTAAATACGTTGAATTTGAATAATTAAAATTAGACAAAAAAGGTTCCACCCACATTAACTGGTTAAAATAAATACGAGTTTCAGAAAAACTTCGATCATTAGAACCCTTATATTATCCTTGGTGCGTAAAAAACATTATTTCCTGGCCGTTCGTTTTTTCGTGGACGTTCGCAGAGCATAAAAGAAAAGTTAATTAAACAGGTTTTTTTTCTGGTCGTTCATTTGTTCGTGAGAGTTGGCAAAGTATAAGAACAGATTTAATATGTAGATGATTTGCTGGTCGTTCATTTTTTAACGTTCGAAAACATAAGAGTAGAGTTAGTATATACATTCCTTGCTGGTCATCCATTTGTGTTTCGGCGTTCGCAAAACTTAAGAGCAGAGTTAAAAACTAGATTATTTGCTAGACGTTCATTTGTTCGTGGGCGGGCGCAAAGTTCACGAGAAGAGTTAATATGTACATATTTTGCGTGCTCTGAGTATGAAAGAAGAGTTGAATAAATAGGTTAAATGTTGATCTTTCATTTATTTGTGGGCGTTCTCAAAGCATAAGAGCAGAGTTAATACATAGTATATATTCTTTGTTGGTCATCCATTAGGTTTGGGCGTTCGCGAAGCTTAAGAGCAGAATTAAATATACAGGTTCTTTGCTGGTCATTCATTTATTTGCTGGCGTTGAGTCAATCATTAGGAATGAATAGGAGATGGTTGTTTAAAATTGGGACGGTAGGTCAAACGGGGAATTTTAGTTTCTTACTGATAAGGGATGCTTAGGGTAGCAAAACGTGGTGCTACTACACTAGAGGGCCTGACGAACGGTTTGAGAGGAGCTGGGGATTCGTGTGAGTGTAATTGTTTAAAAAAAATTTCATTGTTTTTGTTGAAAACTATTACGATTTCATCTACCTAGTGTATTGAATCATAACAAGCTACTTTTTGTTATTCACTTGGGGTGAGTAAAGCATTGATTCTCCAAGTTTTAAGCTGCATTTTAACATATAATTCATTACGTTATCATGCATGGTTGTAATAAGACGCCGTGCTTGCTAGCCTTCGTCATGGCTAGCTCAAATGGGAACATTGAAGTTGCCCAAAACGGGAACGCCCACAAGAATGCTGATGTTGCATCTTCTTCAACGAGCTTTAGACAAATTCCAAGGGGATCGAAAGCTGAATGTGGTGTAGTACCTAAGAAGGTTCGACACATGAATTCAGTTCCAATGCTGAAGAAGGGATAACAGGTTTATTAGCGACATGTGTTCACGATTTCGACCCTTTTTTGTTCCTATACAAACTAGAATGTTAATAAAAAACCAATTTACTAAATTACAAGATATTTATGTTTGTTTTGTAGTCTCCATAGTTAACGTAATTTAATTATTGACTTTCTAAATGTTTTGTAATAAATGTCTTCAATATTTGATCATTTTAATGAAAGTACCCCACTTTACTTATTTTACGTGGATAGACTCGAGCCATCAGGCCCGCTCTTCCGCCTGACCACGCAAATTTCGCTACGCTCCTTTCACCAACTAGTGGAAAAAGGAGGAATTTCTTGGGCGACGAAATAGGCGATTTGAAATTAGCTTACAGGTTTCATTTTGACTTGAGGATCTTTTACATGCAGTTAATCTACCAACATGTGACAGCCGGCTTTACTTCCTTTCCCAAGGAAGTCGTACGAAGGCTTTTTTGGCCCTTAAAAATCCACGGTTTCGGTCGATTTTGAACCTGCGAACTTGGGTGTAACAGTGCTATTCGCTAACCGTTACACCATCGCCGCCACCTTTTAACATTGCCGCTGCCACTTAAATATAATAACACAATATTTTCAAACTGTTTTTTACCGATAATTTAGTTCGTTACATTTTAAAATGGCTTTTGGCTAGCTGTTGGTCAGAGTTCTCGCTTTCTACTATGCGGCCTCGGGTTCTACTTCCGGTCGAGCCAGGACTATAGTGTGCGTTTTCCTTGGAATGTCCCAGTGTATGTTCCTGCGTGACGATGAGGAAATTCACTTCTCAGGTTGAGAAGACAGGAATGCGACAAGGGGATGTTTACGTCCTAGCCACACGTACCCCCTTAACCCATGGCCGCGAGGCTGAGATGTCGCCGGTAGGCCTGAGCCCGTTCACGGGCTGTCGCGCTAAGTACATACATACGTACGTTTTAAAATACGTTCGCGTCCCCGTTTTGGACGGCTTTCCCCTACATATTTCTTACCGTTGGAGGAGAATTCTTGGCGCCGGCGGCCTTGATCGGTAGTTTTCCGTGGTTTCTCCGATCAACACCAGGCGAATGCTGGAGCAGTACCCTAACAAACGGGCCACGGGCCACGCACGATCTCACCTTCCTCTTCCTTGGCCTACCCTCACCCCTTATTTACACACACTTACACTAACATGCACTACACATGCCGGGAGACCCGTCAGGAGCTAAGACCGTGTCCTGGATGAGGTTGTGGGGGAGATAACTTATTGGGGAAAGCCCCGCTAACCGACGGTAGGTCAGCGCCGGGTCGCGCCATACAGAAGAGGGAGAATATTTACTAGGCTGTCCGGGTGACGCCGCGTCCACGGCGAAGGTGCCGACGTTTCGGTCGCCATTCTACGACCTTCCTCAGGGCGTAATGCGATGGGGTAGGCATTACGCCCTGAGGAAGGTCGCAGAATGGTGATCGAAACGTCGGCACCTTCGCCATGGACGCGGCGTCACCAGGACAGCCTAGTAAATACTGACTCCGGCCGCGGAAGCCTACGCTCTCAGAAGAGGGAAACATCACTGCCACCCCCCGAGCACAAAAACAGAACACTTACGGGACTAATGGTAGTTGACGTGCCCGGAATCACTCAACAATGAGTTGGAGTCGCTTCATTTGTTTGGGCGCGTGCGCAGAGCGCGGTGCGCGCGGGCCGGTCGCTGCCGCGCGCCGAGCGCCGCCTGACGCTGCTGGTGCTGGTGATGGCGGCGGCGTTCCTGGCCGCTTGGACGCCCTACGCCGCGCTGGCGCTCGCCTCCGCCGCCGCCCGCCGCCCCGTCGCCTCGCCCGCCGTCGCCGTGCTGCCCGCGCTGCTCGCCAAGAGCTCCGTCTGCTACAACCCCGTCATCTACGTGGGGCTCAACTCGCAGGTGCGTCCGTTGCTCACTCGACTCACTCGTTGCTGCTCGCCTGCCTTCTCCTCCTCTCGTCTGCTTGCATCTCCGGTCGTCTGCTGGCGTCCCCCTCCCCCTCCCCTTTCCTCGCCTATCATTGCCTCTCCTCCCCTTGTCTCTCTTCCCCTTGCCTCCCCCTCCTCTTTCCAAATCTCTTCTTTCCTCCCGTCTCATTTCATCCCCTTCACTTTCCTCCCCTCCCCTTTCCTACCCTCCCCTTTCCTATCCTATCCTTTCCTCCCCTCCCCTTTCCTCACCTCTCCTTTCATCCCCTTCACTTTCCTCCCCTCTCCTTTCCTATCCTCCCCTTTCATTTCCTCTCTTCCCCTTTCCGCCCCTCTCGTTTTTCCTCCCCTCATCCTTCACTCCCTCTGCTTGCATCCCCTCCCCTTGCCTCCCCTCCTCTTTCCTACCCTCTTCTTTCCTTTCCGTCCCCTTTTCTATCATCTCCTTTCCTGTCCTCTCCCTTCCTTTTCTTTCCTTATTTCTTCTCCCCTCCTCTCGACTCACTTCTTCTTTTATCGTCTCCTCTCGTAACCTTTTGTTTCATCTCTCTTCCCTGTAGTCTTCCCTCCTCTCTTTTTGTCATCTCTCCTCCCGTCACCTCTTCTCTCGTATCCTCTCATTCCTCTCTCTCTCTCACTCTATCTCTATCTCCCTCTCTTGCCATCTCCTCTCCTCTCTCTCTCCTGCCATCTCTCCTCTCGACTCCCCTTCTCTTTTTTCGTCACCACTCCTCTCATCTCTCATCTCCTCTTCCCTCCTCTCCCTCCCTTCCTCACCCTCCCCTCTTCTCCTCGCAGCACCTCTCCTCCCTGCCTTTTCTCTCCAAACCTCTTCTCTCATCTCCCTTCTCCACCTACTCATTTCATATCTCCACTTCTGTAATCGCCCCTCTTCTCGTCTTCCTCTTCCCTCTGTGCTCCTCTTTTCTCTACTCATCTTCTCTCCACTCCTATCTTCCTTCATTTGCTCTCCTCAGTTTGTCCTTCTTCCACCGTTAATCGTAGTATTGAAGCAGTGTCTCACCTTTACTTTTATGATTCGTATTCTCGAATTTTAGTTTACTTCTCACTCAAATCTAAGGGGGAAAATGTACAATTTGGCCCCCTCAGAATTTGTATTCATGAAATGTAGAATTTATTTCTTGGAGTGCGCCTGTTTTCCTGGAAAACACCAATCCGCGGTGAAATAACTGCCAGTTAGGGTTAAATGCCACATGAATAACTTAGTTTTTCAGTGTTTCAGACTAAATGTTACAAATTTCTAGGGGATGATGAGGGATCAACTATGACCACTTTTTGTCAGTATCTGTGTAGTGGGAATTGCACGAAAATAAGTTATATTCACGTTTTAATGTAGCATTGGCCTCTGATTTTTAGGCAACCCCGTACGCTCGTCTTACGTTATAAAGGTATATGAAATTCCCTTGACTTAATGGCACATGTGTAGCTCCGTTTTATGAAATTGTGATAATTTCGTCTCCCTTCTACAACTACTAGATACGTTAATTTCGAGACAGCAGACTAAGAGGTTTATTAGCAAAAAGTTATTATTTTGGACACCCCTGCATGCCTTCTATGTTTGTAACATTTATTCTGCCCCCCCCCCTGTGTAATATTTCCGTGTCACGCTTGCAGACCCGCGTGTGCGTCAATTATATAAAATTTCCCACCAAATGCTCATTGCCAAAATAGGATTATCGTGCACTTCCCTCCGTGTCCTCTAATTTTGTAAGATGTATTTTGAGAGATTCTGTATAACAGATGCATGTGACTGTTGAATTGCAGTTGCATGCAAGTTTCATTTATAAGATTATATTTTATTTCATTTCATATCATTTTATATATTTCTTTTAAATATATATTATGTGTAATTTATTATAATATATAATAAATAGTATATTTGTTATAAATAGTTTATTATATTATTTATATAATTAATATTTGTTATTGTTTATTACATTTATTGTTTCATTTATTATACATCAAATTTACATTTTTTGCAATATTATATATATTTAATATTATTTTAATTACATATATAAATATAAATTATATATTAATTATTTGTTATATATTTGATTTTTTATTATTTTATATTATTTATTTTATATAAGATATCCTCGAAATGCTCATTGGCAAAACGTGATTNNNNCCCCGCCGCCGCCGTCGCAGCCGCCGACGCCGCCTGCGGAAGACTCGCCGGAAGACGATGTGTCCAGCCGTAAGCGCCGTGCTTCGAACTACGTGAACGGAGAGCAGTGTCTGACGACAGCGATGTAGGCCGTAGATTGGGGCTCTTGTTTACGAAAAAATAGTCTTAATCGTTTTGTCTTTGAAATTATTATGTGGACAGCAAAATGAGAATACAGGACGATTGAGTCGGGATGAGAGGCTAGACAGCCGCTGTCTACAGAAGAACTGGAGGACAACGCATCCATCCACAAGAGCCGTGCTTCAATGAATTGGAATGCAGTGGTCATGTGAACGGAGAGCAGTGTCTGACGACTGCGATGTAGGGCGTGGAGTGTGGCTCTCGTTAACGGAGAACATTCTTCAGATTTTTTGGCAGACATTGTGCGGCATTAGAAGACAGGTGGATTGAGGCAGGATGAGAGAACAGACCTCCACTGTCTTCAGAACAACAGCTGAGGCCAACGCATGCATCTACAAGTACCGTGCTTTGAACCACGCGAATGGAGAGCAGTGTCTGACGATGGCGATGTAGGCTGTAGATTGTGGCTCTTGTTTACGAAAAAACATTCTTAATCGTTTTGCCTTTGAAATTATTATGTGAGCAGCAGAATGAGAAGACAGGACGATTGAGACAGTATGAGAGGTCAGACCAAAGTTGTCTTCAGAAGAACAGCCGGAGGACAACGCATACATCCACAATCGCCGTGCTTCAAACCACGTGATTGGAGACCCGTTTCTGACGACGGCTATGTAGGCCGTAGATTGTGGCTCTTGTTTACGAAAAAAACATTTTAAATCGTTTTATCTTGGAAATTGGTTTGGTAGATAGTGTGCTGCAAAATGAGAAGACAGAACGTTTGAGTCATGATGAGAGGACAGACATACGCTGTCTTCAGAAGAACAGCTGCACGGCACCGCGTCCAGCCGTAAGCGAGATGCTTCGAACCACGTGAATGGAGAGCAGAGTCTGACGACGGCGATGTAGGGCGTAGAGTGTGCCTCTCGTTAACGGAGAACATTCTTCAAATGTTTTGGCAGACACTGTGCGGCAACATTAGAAGACAGGTGGATTGAGGCAGGATGAGAGAACAGACCTCCACTGTAGAAGGTAGATTTTCCGGGCTGGTAGGCCGTGGTCCAGTTGGCATACTTGGGCCAAACGTTTCGTCCACGTCTGCGGTGGACATCTTGGAGACGTGGACGAAACGTTTGGCCCAAGTATGCCAACTGGACGACGGCCTACCAGCCCGGAAAATCTACCTTCTATTGACTCCGGCCGTGAAAGCCTACGATACTACATAGCCCTCCACTGTCTTCTGAAAAACAGCTGAGGAAGACGCATGCATCTAGAAGTGCCGAGCTTCGAACCGTTCGTCTTTCGTTTACGAAAAAACATTCTAAATCGTTTTGGCTTTGAAATTTATTTGACAGACAGTGTTCTGCAAAATGCGAAGACAGAACGTTGGAGTCAGAATGAGAGGTCAGGCCAAAGTTATCAACAAATGAACAGCTGGAGGACGAAGCGGCCATCCACAAGCGCCGTGCTTCAAACCACGCGAATGGAGAGCAGTGTCTGACTACGGCGATGTAGGGCGTAGAGTATGGCTCTCGTTTACGAAAAACATTCCAAATCGTTTTGGCTTTGAAATTTATTTAGCAGACTGTGTGCTGCAATATGAAAAGAGAGTTCGACTGTGGTAACATGGAAGGACAGACCACGGCTATATAGAGCATCTTAACGTTTTCCTTTTCGTAAATTGAAAACATTATTGTCTGGATTAGTCATTTTGTCTTTGAAAATATGTCCTGCAAGACGCGATGCCCGTGATTTTAACTAAATCCAATACATTGTATGAGAATGATGATCTGTGTCTGTAGTCCCCTGGGCTGAATATGTGTTATTGTTTCTTTTTTTAACTATTTATAACATAAAAATTTGAGACGTTTTTAATATTATATTTGAGTAGCTTGGCCGACCACGTCAGTCATGTAGGTACAAGCACAAAAGCAAACATCAATGACTCATGTAGAATATGAAGAACGCTAGATTTTTTTAACTGTTTTGTCGTCAGAAATTAGTGTTCAGGCAAGACCTGCAATGTGAGGAGCAGGGTTTGTAGTCATATGGGGATGAATTGAGTAACATTGAACATCAGTGGCCGACGACGTCTACGTAGGACATGTGTAAGTGTAATTGTGAACATTTAACATTTAAGACTTTAACTTTTGAAAGACTTGGTAGACCACATGAGGCATAAGAGCGAAAGCAAGTAGAGAAATATCAGTGTCTCAAGTCCAATATGTAGGATTACTTTTTCTCTTTGGTGAAAGAAAAAAAGGTTTAGACTTTTTAAATCTGCATTCTTTGCTTCGAAATAATAGCAGGCAAGTGTTGGAAGTTGGAATGCAGGGAGAGAATGAAATGGGCATAAAGTGTATGAGAGTTACAAGTATTTTTAACAATTATAATAACATGAACTTTTTAGACTTTTTAAAGACATTTGAACCACTTGACAGTTACAGATCATGAAGGATGGGTGGAAGTGAGTGCGGTTTAGTGAATGAACATAGTGAATGTGTTGGGGCTGTTGTGTGTGTGTTTGTCAACGAAAAAACTGTTTAGACGGTTTTGATAGTACTTTTCTTCCCAATATAAGGAGCAGAAAGTCTAGCAAGATTAGAAACGAATCTGTAAAACATGAACGATAGTTATCTCTATTAGAAGGATATCAAAGTCTGAATGAAGCTAACAAGGGCTGTGAGGATTTAATTAATATTTTTAGAATTGTTGATAAAAGTTCTCATAATGTTTTAGACTGTACTAAATGTAGCAGGATCACACTACGTATGTGAATGAAGAATTCAGGTTTGAAAAACAACGAATGCAACTAAATGCCAGAAGTTTCTGGAGTGAGAAGAAAGATCGCCATCTAATATCTATTTATGTAAAGGCATGTATATTATAATTTTGAGTATATAATGTTGTAAATAAAAATTACATGAAATAATTTGGAGTTTTTTTAATAAATAAGATCGAAAATTTCGCCTGTGAAAACCTTGAACGAGAAAAAAGGTTAGTATTTTTGTATAGCTAGACACCACCAATTTTCGGTTCCAAAATATAAAATAACAAGCAGAAAAGGCGTTGCTCGGACTATTTGTTATCCAATTGTTTAGAGAAGAAAATAATAAATTGTATGAAAATAACATAGATTTAACTCGTATGAAAGACCTACGACCTCAACATTTTAGTTTTAAGGCGCTAGAACGCTTCGCTTAGGAATTAATTAACGATACTGCCAACTGAGTGCTGCGGGTTGCATTTCGCATGAATATTTGGATGTATTTTTAAAACAAATCCGTCATTTTTTTAAAGCCAAAGTGCAATTCGTTGCCTATTCGAGTCGCAAAAGATATGAATACTGCTGAAACAATATTGGAGACGATGGTTGTAAATCGTAGTCAGTCTACAGTACTCCAGACCTGTAAAAGAAGCTAACACAAAATTTTCATCGGTATTGGGTTCAGTAGATTCAGAGATTATCGCGCTGTATGTCAACACACTTTTGTCTTTATCAATTAGTATATATATGGAGATAGAGAGAGATAGAGACAGAGATAGAGAGAGAGAGTTATAGAGATAGAGAGATAGAAATAGAGACAGAGCGAGATAGAGATAGAGAGAGAGAGAGAGAGAAATAGAGATAGAGAGAGATAGAGACAGAGATAGAAATAGAGACAGAGAGAGATAGAGAGGGAAAGAGATAGATAGAGAGAGGGAAAAAGAGATAGAGAGGGAAAGAGAGAGATAGAGGGAAAGAGAGAGATAGAGGGAGAAAGAGATAGAGAGGGAGAAAGAGAGAGAGAGAGAGAGAGAGAGAGAGAGATACCGGGTAAGTGGCTCAGAAGGTCAACGCATGTCTTTGCAGCGCCTCTGAACGGGAGGTCCTAGGTTTCGAGTCCCGGCGATGGCTGAGGCGGTGGCTTCACTGGTGGAAGATATCTGGTTGGAGAAAATCCCGCGGGCTGAGATGTCGATCGGCTTCTAGCAGAGGGGGATCACTGCCTCCTTCTGCAATAAAACACGCACTATACTTACGGGACTAATGACCTTAGTAAATGACGCGCCCGGAATCACCAATCAATTGATCAATCGAAAAGGTCTGACACTTATCTTATCAACTTCGACTTGCGACCTTTTTTTGAATTTGGTTGGTGCACCTTGTTTTGACCGTGCTTACAAAATCGCAGGGCTCATTTTGACTACTCGGGTTTGGAAGCTAATTAAGCCAAACACGTTGCTTCTCGGTTGCCGGGGGCGCAATCTGTTAAGTACATGACGCTTCGCATTTCCTTGTAGTTCGCGCGCTGTCCGGGAGAAGCGCCAGTGTTCACGTCGTCGTCACGAAATTCATATTGAGTTTTGAAAATTGAAATATTTTCTCATTTGACGAACAGCCTGTAAAATTCAACGGGGAAGTAAAAATGTCTATATATATTCTCCTGTATTTTCAAGAATAATTGTATTTAAGATTTTAAAAATATTTAAAATATACGAAACTTGAATGTGAATAAAACAAATAAACAGAATTACATATTAACCCATTCGCTACTCTCTTAGAAAGATACACTGAACTTTTTAAGATGTTTGAATTTACTTACCTTTATATTATTTTTACCTGTAACTGTTATGTAGTAATGTTTACTTCTTTCTTTAGTTTATGACATTATTTTCTGTAAAATTATCTATTTCATTATAATATTAAAGACAAAATGCTTTCAAATACATGAGTTCTAAGAGTTCGAAGGGTTGTGGTATGATCATCGAAATAACGGCCAACCTGACAAATGAATACAGTCAAAGGGAAAGTAGTGACAGCTAGTGGGTAAATCTGCAATAAAACTGGGAATTTCGTCTAAAATATAAGTTGGCTCCTTTTTATATGCTGCTGGTTATGTATGAATTTCAAACTGTCTTCTCTTATATCTAGTCAGCGGTATGTCTCTTTTCCTTCTTGCAGTAAATACAAACAAAATGTGATTGGTTTACTTCACAATTCTTTGTAAGCAATTACTTTCATTTCCACACACACTCTTCAAGTAGATTTACGCTACGACTATTACATTTAACTTTCTTTTTTCCCTTACATTATGTAAACTTAACTTTTTCCGTGTTTACTGGCGTTCCAGTTTTATTATTATTATATCTTGATGTGAACGTTCGGTGATACTACATATGTTGTTTGGTGAAAATATTTTAATGCTGCAGCAAAAATGCTGACTTTTCGACAGAAAAACACTGGGACACTGATACCAAAAAGTAGAATATTTTTGTTCCTGTATGTAAAATAGAACATTGTTTAACACGTATTCTTAGAATACACGTCAGATATCACGGGTTGTGGATACTTGATATCTAAAAATTGCCTTACGGCAAAACTTCACACCGTCAGTCCAGTAACAACATTATAGGCTAAACACTTGGCAGGATGTTCACCAAAATTGATATTTTCGGATACATCTGGCTGTTACGTCTCCTTGAATACAATACGCATATTTTCTTTTTGGTGGTTACTTTATATAAAGCCTCAACATTTTCAAGCTTTCCTCAAAAATGGCTCCAAATTTTGTGTTCAGATTTTTCTCCGATAAATACAAAAAGCTCAGTAAAATGGAGCATGTACCATTTTCGATGAATTTTCTCAATTGCATCGTTTATTTCAGAAACCCGTCAAACGCCAAATTTCTCATCTAGAGAAACCTGAGAATATGTCTCCCAATTTTTCAGATATCAAAATATTTTTTTTTATTAAAGGAGTTGATAAATAAATATTTTTTATATAAATATGCACTAAACGATGTGTCCATCCTCCTGTACAATAATTCGTCGCTAAAGCGTGTTTTAGAGTTCGGCATTTGACGGGTTTCTGAAATAAACGGTTCAATTTTAGAAAATTGTCAAAACTTAATTTTTTGGCGTCTTATAACAACTACAATATTGAAGATAGAAATGTACTTTCTGAATGAAATATTTTATTTAATAGTCTGTCATTACATTAGATCAAATCAGATCATGTGTATTTTTTTCAAAATATAAGTAATGTTTGTTAGTTTTTTTGTGAAATGAACGATTGATGTTTGAAAGGATCGTGATAAATGCACTCAACAATATAGAATAAAGTTGTTTTGATGTAACATTTCAATTTTTCAAAAATTACAAAAGTTTATGAACTGATAGTGCGATATTAAGTAACATTTACAAAATGAAAG